CGAGATACGAATACGCGTGTATTAGCGCCACTCCCGCGCCCACGCGGCTCTCCCCCCGCGGGTTTCTAATCTCTTCTGTCGCGGCGCCTGCATAAAGTCGCACGCGCGCGCGTACGGTGATATACTGCCCCCCCTTTCTTGGCCTCCGCGACGGTTATATATATACTTGTATACGCACATAAATACTTGCCAACTTACGCGATTGTGGGTATATAGGTGCGTTTGTGTGCCTTTGCGAAACACGTACGTGCCAAGTGTGACGGGAGTTTACTGCAATAGCAGCACCTATGGGTTTGACGCTTTGCGTACCGCGACTGTATTATGTTATCGGTATACCTACGGTTAGGGATTTTAGGGTGTCTGGAGAATCGCCACCACAAATGTTCCCCTGCATGTGATTTATGAAACAAAGGTATACTTACACTGGTGTGGTATATGGACATTGCTCGTCGCTGTTACTGGTATTTATATATACGAGTGTAGTGCCAAAGTGGGCCCACCCCATCATTGGTTTACAATATAAATACACGAGGGTTTTTATTGTACCTCCGACGTGCCGAGCTTAGCTTATCGATCATCCCGGGCGAGGCTGTAGATAATGTAAGTGTCAAAATAGAGATAGCGCAACGCTCCTTTCGTGGCGAAATATGGACCGACAACGAGTGTAGGGAATTTACAGCCAATGCACCGATCGAACGCTGACTTTCGTGCCAGCCGTGGATTATAGGGCAAAAATTATAATGCGTCGATAGGGACTCTGAGCAGGGGTTGTTGGGATATATCCGACTGCGACGCGGGTATACATGTTTTGGCATACCTGTACCTCGACCTGTAAGATAATTGGGCCGCTTAGTGTTTTCACGAGAGGGTCAAATACCGCAGGTAGGTATATACTTGTAAACTCTGCCTTATAGGTGTATCTCTGGAAAAACAAACAACATTCTCCAAACACGGATCTCCGTGTGTATCGTACGAGCGTTTGGGCTGGGGTTGAGAGGGAAACATTTTTCGGTTGAACGACCAAACGGTAATTATACAGTTTGGCAAGTATATTATTTAACACGCCCGTGGTGTTGTCAAACTCTTGACTCGTGATTGCCCATTCAAATTTATTGCCAAACAAACGCGACGGCGAAATCGAATCGGGGACTAGGTATATTTATATTATTGTATGTATTGGTGCACACATAGGTATACTTTCGTTTCGAGTCCAACTATACCGGCTGTGACGGGGTGTGACACATTTTTATAAGTATATGTATATATATATATACACGCGCATTGATACCAATCCCGCACGATTTACGAAATTTTATCTTCCGAATGTGGCGCATATTACGTAGGATTTATCCGGCACATTAAATACGGAGTCCCGAGTAAATCGTCGGTTTTATCTCCCGAGTGAAATTGTGGATCTCCCGTCGATCATTTGATGCGTTTAATATACCTACATCCCGGCGTGTTTTATTGCTGGCTACCTCGACATTTGTTGCTAGTCTTCGATACATACTGGGTCGTACATGGTAAAATAGACCTAAGCCTCAACAGAGAGAGAGAGAGAGAGTAAGAAATCTTGAATGGATTTAACGATGCTATATCGATACTCGGGTTAGGAGTGAAAAAAAAAAAATCGATTTTATTGATACATCCACCGCTTATATCGAGGAGGATATAATGTTATTTATTGGCCGAAGCGCCTGTAAAACGAGTTGATTCGTAAATTATGATTACCAGGGGGATAATAATGTATATAAGTACTTTATCGTGTGAATCGAGTGAACGATCGGCAACACTCGGCTTTATATAACCCACCCATTGAAAAATCATTCGAGCTGAGATGCTCGACACGACGCAGATGAAGACATTGCGTTTTTTTTTTCGCGTTGACGCCCCCCACCCAACCGGGCGCGTGTACTCTCGAATAAATGCACAAAGTGTTATGTATAGGCGCACAAAGCAGAGGAGAGAAGATCAACGACCCGCGCTGTCGGCGGAGCATACAAAATAAAGGAGACGAAGGGGAAGAAAAAAAAAAAAAAGTGCGCGCGAGTTTGGGCGCTCCCGTGGTGGAACCAATGCACTTGCACGCACATACATATTATATAGAGGGCCTTTCGAAACACCCCGGGACGGAGCGACAGCCGAAATGGATTATAATCCGATCCATCGAAATGAAGCCGTTCCGTTCGTACGGAGGCAAAGGCCCCACGCGATGAATTTACATCCTTTGTGGGATATTTTTAATGGGATGTACATATACACGTCACGATAAAGTTTGGGCTCGAGCACCGGTATTCTGCAGGCATAGGTACATCGATATTGTGAAACGAAAACACCCGACTGCACGAATGACTCTTGAGACATTTTTCATCATCATGTTAAACCTCAAAAAGATTTATGCGTCATTTGGAACTGGAAAAAAAAAAAAAATCTCCAACCATATAGGATCCTCGCTATAGCTCTCGCAAAAGCCATTACCGTCGCGCTGCAACACGCGTCGTAAAAGTTTCACCAACACTTGGAGTTGGAAAATAGCGAAGGGGAAAAAAAAGAGCCTCGATTTCTTCTGGAATAAACGTCGCGGGAATTCGTATCTTTGGGGCCAAACACGGACGCGCCTTGAAAATTAAAGTTTAAGCGCAGCATAAATCGACCGCGTTACTCCGCTCGTTTCCCAAGTTCAATAGCCACGAAAATTTATAACCCCATACGGGGGAGTGCGCGTTTGAGGACTGGGAAAGGTATCAATCCGGGGGCCTGGGTTACGGCACAGTCGTACGTGCGATCCAACTTTTACTCCCACGCAGAGGCAGCCTCCTCCTCGCGATTAACGATTTCGATCCGCGAAAGGTGCGGTGTAACTATATACTCATTGCGCAAGAAGATTTTTGTTAAAACAGAGCGCGACGAAGCTCGTCCCTTCCATACAAGGAGTTGCATTGTTACGTGTGTTACTGCGAGAGTCATATTTTTTTTTTAAACCTCAGTCCTACGAAATCGCCAAGGGATACAAGGGGCAGCTTCGCGCGTTTTATTTGTTCTCAATTTTTATAAAAACAACATTTGTTGCATATTTGTCACTGGCGCTGTATACAACTGCATCCGACATTGACACGAGAGAGTGCGCGTATACAAATATTTCCATAGATGCGGAACGAGGGGATGAGGAGGCGACCAATGCCGTTGAATACCACACAATTGTATAGATGCGCGGGGGAGGGGGTGACACGTATTTGCCATTGTTTCGCGTCTAATGACACAGAAGCGCGTTGGCCGTACCGTGGACGATTAGCACCACCGGGTTTGATTACTACGTGACAGCATTCGGGAGGAGGTCTCAGGTGGGAATTATTGCCGCGTAATAATTTTAAATCAGCCGCCACGCGCCCTTTGTGCGCTCTCGATGGCGCGTCACGCGAGAAAATAATACACGAGCACCACGAAATTTCATAATACGGCGATTAGCATTTGCCATGAATATACTGTACGTACCTTATAAAAAAAAAAAATACTCGTAGCTCTACGCACTGGTATAGGCACAAAGGTGGGGAAGAAAAAAAGGGACATTTCACTCGTCTTTTCAATACTACACGTACATGATTTTTTACAACCGCGCTCGAAAAATTATAATTCCAGGAGAGCCCGAATCGAACCCAAAGCGATTCGAATATACGTACGGGCAAAAAGATGAATCGGTAATGCCATGACAGTGCAAACATGCGTTGCCGAGATGAGATGAAAAGCCGCGAGTTACGAAAGTTTGTTGTAACAGCACTCGAGCGGCTTTTCAAACATCTCGGGATACATGATTTGCTTTGGAACCTTGAACGGGAAAGAAGGAGAGTAAGCTGTCGTACTGCACTTGTATATACATATATATATTATATGCTCGATCCGTTGCGTGTTGTTTTAACCTCGATATACAACGAAAATCTCGTCCAGCGCGCGTCACTTCCTCTTCTACCTTCGAGGACCCACGCGAAGTGGCCGTGACCATTGTAAAAAGGCAAAAAGGAGCGAGTATTTGCTCGTTAATAATAGAAGAGAGAGAAAAGACATATCCCTCTCGCACGAGTGAGCTTCCGTGACATGCACAACATAATTATAATTATCGCTCGAGTTGCGGGGGGAAGAGGTAAAGCAAACACTTTATATGTATACACCCGGTTGGGTTGAGCAACTGCATGGGGGGGGGATACTTACAGAGTCGACGACGATGACAGTCCATCGTGGGTATTGGTTCAAGGGGCAAGCTTGGACTGCACTCATTTTTTTACCATCTCACGAGGCTGAGGCGTGTATACACGTGTATATAAACAGTCAAACGACATTCCGTTGTCATCCCAAATATTGCCTCTATGGAGCGCACTCTCTCTTTTACTGTATTCTCTGTTGGTAAGGCTATACATGTGTGTGTGCTCGGCGAGGCCAAGTGCGCGAGCTATAGCCGCACGAGACTCGAAATCTAAATCGGGAAGGAGATGTATGAATGGGCCGGGAGACGGACACGTTGGAAGAGCGCCTTGTCTGCGCCCTGTCGACGAGCGGAAACTTTATAGCCCCCTATCCTATACACACGTATATGTATACTCGGATGCTTCGTCAGGGAAAAATCGAGTTTCTGCATTGGAAATTCAATGAAAACGGTGATTGGAGCAACGAAGACTTGGTAGAACTTTTTTCTTTATTCAACCAAATGATGAAAAATGAAAGCACCTTCTACTGCAGTGCTTGCACTCGGAAGAGACTTTTCCATCCTGAAATGCGCGCGTATACCTACTCATACGGGGTAGGAGAAAAAAAAAAAAAAAACCCCTCCCACCTTGGTCGGCACGGCTCGTTTTACCTGTATTCATGCGTATATTATTTTTGGTCGCCTCCTCGCCGTATAAAGTCGTTTTTCCCTCCATCCTTCTCCCCGCATTCTTGGGCGTGCGAGTTCGTTATTCCTCGCGCTCCTCGCTCGGTGGGCGAATTCGGTTTCGCATCAGGCATTTAACGCCCGGAGAGCCACTCGAATGAGAATCGCCAGAGAGACGTATACGCAGCTCGACACGAGATCGATACGACAATGGCACCTGTACGGGAGAGAGGCCCCCCTTCCCCCCTTCATTTTCATTTCTCGCGCGTACGCGCCTCTAACAAATATTTCCTGCGCCGAAGGGTAGGTCGTGTACGCACCTGCAAAGCTCCTTTTTTCACTCTATCGTCGCGTAGCTATTTGTTTTTCTTTGTTTCCTCGAGAATTTCTTCACAATCGCTTGCACCCATATATACTCGTATCTTGAATACTTTACGACGCGGGGGACATTAGTACAGCGAGGCACGAGGTATATAGTCAAATTAGAGGCCGCGTGCCGCAGATAAGAGCTGACGAAAGTAACAGAAATAGCCGTAAGTATATACGTGACTGATGGTGTATAGGTACATGGCTGCACCAGCTGCGCGAAGCATACATATATTGTGTCACGGTTGGGATGAAAAATTTTTCGACGAAACGCGTATTAGGTGCCCCTGTATCGTACGGTAAAAAAAAAAAAAAATAAATAAAAAAAAAAAGAGTTATTCGAGGTGTCCCATTGTCGAAGCGGGAGAGAGGGAGAAAGTGCTTCTCTTTCCATTTACAGGTGGAAACTAATTTGAGGCCGAATGAGTTAGGACCACTGCCATCACTCGAATGGAGACATCAAAGGAATTCAAACACCTGCAGCGCGCGAGGGACCGAGTATACAGTATCAATACCTGTTGGAGGGCGGGAAACTAAAAACCGGAAAATTTCAAGGGGAAAAAGACTGGAAGCGGGTACATTTTCTCGAGACCGCGACCCATCATCGATGCGACACGCGAGAATATACAATTTCATCTCTATTAGGATATTTTCTTCGGACTTTCCGCGCTATTAGGTTGCGAAGAAGAGAAAACGAGGGACACACCTTACTCTAGTTGCCGTTTCCCCCATACAGCTCTTTTTTTTCACTCTCGTCTCTTTATACACGTTTTGACTCTCTCTCTGTCTCTCTCTCCGCAGCGCGGCGGCCCTTTGATTTGGACCCCGCGAGGCTTTCCCACCTTCCACTTTCTTCTTTTCTTTTTTTTTCTTCCTTCCACATAAGTGATCGATGCTCGAGCGCGTGTAAAAGTAACGCGAGCCGAGAAATGCGCTTCGGAGACGATTATGCTAATACCCGTATACATCATGCGGTGGATGCATAGAGGCGGCTGGTAAAAGTGTGATTTTTCTCCGGCTCAGTTTTGTCACGGAGTGGGGGTTTGGGGGGCGCAAAAAAAGTTTGGTAAACGATAACCTACCCGGGCAATTTGCTGATGCCGATTTACGAGGGCCCCTATATATGTGTATCCAGGCTGTACGATGGACGGAAAAAAAGAATATCAAAAGCTTTGGCCGCGAGCCTTCGCTGCAAATAAAAAAAGAGTCCCTGGCAACGCGGAGTGAAAAGTTGATTCTTTTTTTTTCAATTAAAAAAGGAGCGACTGCGCGGTGCAAAATCAAGCCCACTCCTTGCCAATTAGACATAACGAACTAATTAAGCTCTTTCAGCGGCGGAGAAAGGATGAGGGGGTGGGGGGGAAAGCTCGAGCTTGCAAAGTTCAGCGGACCGCACGTCTCCCTCGGCAAGCTTGCAGCTTTTCGCCATAATCCCATATATACCCATGTATTATACTCTCGACGCAACCATCACCGTCACGTCCACGAGAGCATCGGGTTCGCGTGGTTGTTTCTAGCCGGGGAGCACCTCGTAGACAAGAAGACGAGAGCGAATATAATATGTGTATTTATTGCGAGCCGAAGGAAATAATTGTCGGCGCTCCACATGGGCTTGGGCATGGAAATACCAGGTCTCTCTTTCGAGTGCTCTGATTTTCATATCCAAGGGGGCCAATCAATTATCGCCGATTCAGCCAACCACCATGAATTTCTTTTGCTCCACCTCTTTAGTTTGTACATATACATGTACCTACTCACTTTGGATCCCCTGTGTACCTTATTATGGTTTATTAGCGAGTTGTAGGCTCAATTTGTAGAGCGAAGAGGAACAACATTTCGTTAAAGGACAGTACGAGGATGATGGTATTATTAAATTTATTTTTATTTCCCCCTCGATTTTCGCGATCGATAATTGGTAGGAGATGCAATAATAAATAATACACAAATAATCATCAATTGGTATACCTATTATGTACACGTTCCGCGTATTGAGAGTAAAAATAAACGAAGGTCGGACCGCCCGGTTTGTTAATTTACACAAATTGTGTATAGTGCGTGAGCTATAGAAGAGCTTCAGCCGACCCCATCCTCCCTGCACAAATAAGACACGCTGCACCTCTCGTTCGACAAACAATATACTTATATGGTACTTGAAGTGACAAGAGTGAATAAACCGGAACTTCCGAAAACTACTTATGTATTATAATTTGTTGTTTATTTGTTTTTTTTTTTTTTTTTTTTTTAACNATGTACTTATTTCTTTGATTAATAAAATAGTATAGTTGGTACTTCCGTTAAATGCTCTTTTTTAATTACTTTTTTTTTTCTTTTTTTTTTTTTTTTTTTTTTTTTTTTTTTTTTTTTTTTTTTTTTTTTTTTAACGTCCCGTGCTGTACGACCCATCAGAAAAAAAGTGCGACCTTGGCAACATGCACCATGTCACCGAGACCGACCAGACGACGATGCATCAGAATGAGACCGGCATCAAACCAGTCTTGGTCCACGTGCTTTTCGACAACAATCTGCATGCTGTGTTGATATATATACGGTGCACTGCAGAAGATACACGGCGAAGGGGCGGAGGGGGAACCGAAGTCGAAACGAGACGCGTGCATGTATATACATATACAGTGGAGCTAAAAACATACACTGCTCGAGTGTACATGTATATATATGCCTATATACACATGTTATATGTAGAGCACGCAATGTTTTTAAGTATACGGCGCGCACACACATGGGTGCAGCCGTCTCGCTCTCTCTCGCTGTGCACCCTCCCGCCTAACGCTCACGCAATCGTTGCTTCGCCGGCATATAGAGGCACAGGCAACCAGCGGACCGTGAAAAGAGAGCCAGAGCGCGAGAAGTCTCAGTTACGCGGTGGTCATCCGAGCGGTGGGTTGGTTGTTGTTGCTCTGTTAACGCTCCTCCACCCGGACTCACCGTACGATTAATCTTGTATTTAATGAGATTAGCTCGAGTGTAAAAAAAAAAAAAAAAGTCGAGACTAATTGTGGAATCTGTATTACATTGGAACAGTGTGCGTATAGGTTTCATGTGGTTGTCGGTCGCGATATCGGCAGTTGTTCATACTTTTGGCCACCGGTCAATTTTCCTTGGTTTGTTCGAGGGATTATGCGAAGGTGCTCCATAAGGAATAGCCATGTCTACGAAGAAGTACTTTACGGTCATCAACATGCCATCATGCGTAAGAGTATATTTTTTTCTATCCGTACGTTGTGTCCGATTTTCGTGCCGGTTGCTGTTTTTTTTTTTTTTTCTCTTTTCGGAGCAGCAACACTCAAAGTTTAAAAGAGGAGGTGTTTTATGAGTGTTTACGACCACTCGTGCGCTAGTATATATATATGGTTAAAATTTGGAGCGCAAGCGAGACGTTCCCTGACCCCGCAAAAATGCAGGGAATCCCGCGAATAATCCAGATCTCAACGTTTTTTTCCGATACTAGATTCCCCGGATAGTATTGGAAATTTTCTTTAAAAAACAAAGAAATAGTCCGCGGCATTAAATTTCGTCTTAAAAACTGGTAAATACACACGAGACTCTATTGGTTGTTTTTAAAAAAAAAACCGATGTTTTTAAGTTTGTTTATTTTTGTTCTTCAAGTTCTTTATGACAGTTGCGAAAGCAGTGAAGGGAAAGAAAAAAAAAAAATCAATAAGAAAGAAAGAGCATTTATCTCAATAACGCGAAAGCACGTGCTCCCACCGTATAACGTGAGCCGCGCAGTTATCGCCTGCACCCTTCACAAATTAAACGAGCGACAGCCGAGATGATATAAAAGTACGTAAAAAAATACGCGTTCATCAATAAGCCCAATATAATATCTGCCGTGCGGTTTGCAGCTTGAAATTCCTGACGTAAACACAAGGTATATATTTTTCTCCCCGAGCTCGACCCTTTTGTTGCACGTTGTTTTACCGCGTCGATGGATATTTTGCCGCTTACGAAATTCCACTGTCGCAAAGTATAAGCAACCAGTTTTTAATTAAGAGGGTCAATGCAGTAAATTATTCGTAAGTCTATAACATATCTCTCCTTCGAGCTACAGCTTTAATCTCTTCGCTACTATGCTCCAACACGTACACTTATTACATAAAGACGACGCCCGGATGATGTGAAATTAATCCTATTGGTATAATGTATATATACGTTTGATCGCGGCATACCGGCGGATCCTCAAATTCCCAATAAATACATTAAACATCGGAGAGGTCTCGAGAGATAAACGCACGGTAAAAAAAAAAAAAAAAAAAAAAAAAAAAAAAAAAAAAAA